ATTAGAGAAATGTTTTCTTCAATATATAAACCAGTAACTTCTTTGTAAGTAAAAAGTGAGATCTGCCTTCATTAATTCTAAAAGCTCTCACCATCACGCCAAGCACGATGGCATGGGTTAGTCTTCACTGTACTCCCCCAAGCACTGGGCTTCCCTCTAAATGGTCAAATGGTGGCCTTCTGAAGGCAAGGCCTGTCCGCTCCGAGAGCCTGCGTGGCCGAGCACACAGGAGGCCCCACTCACTGGCTCCCTGGGAAGCTCCCCCTGGATGGTGGTATTACAGGACAGCCTTTCAATTCCCAAGCACATTTCCACCACCATCTATCCATTCAACAAGCATTTCTAGAGCACCTGCTAAGTCAGAGCCTTGGGTTATAGATTAAAAAAAAAAAAAAAGCCTCTAATTCAAGGAATTCCAATGTAATAGAAAAGACAAGTGAATAAACATTTAACGGTAGTATGGCAGCAAACAGGGGACTGGGCAGGCCAAGGAGAGCCTCCGTCCCACTGGAACGGAGGCATCTGGGACAGTCCTGGGAGGAGCTGACGGCTGTCCCCAACCCTGAGGGACAGCAACGAGCTGGCCGGGCAAAGAAGAGCGGAAGGCACTCCGGGCAGAGCATCCGGGACAGCTGCCTCACACACTCCTAGAACATCTTCCCCACCTCTCCATGCAGCATCTTCTCAGATGATACAAATAATTTTAATATTAGTCTAAGAATAATATGGTCAAATAGGTAATACAGCCTCAAAAATGATTAGATGACACATTTTGAAGTAAAAAAAATCAATGTGCTTTTAACTGTCCTCCATTAGGGTGACAGCCTGGCTGCCACCTCCCTCTCCAGGCCTCTCTTCTGGCCCTGCCATCCCAGGCTCCAGCCACTGAACATTGCATGGTGTCATGTCCATATGCCTTTGCCTTAGCCTGGTTGCTCTCGTCCATCTTGGTCGGTCAATGAGCTGACCATGTCCACACCCCCCCCAGCCCAGTTAAACATCTCCTACTGTCTGATGTGCCCCTTTGCCTCGTCCGGGCCACGGGCTTCACCTGGACCTACTTCACAGGCACCGCTATTTGCTTAACTGCCTTTCCTACTCAACAGGAAAAACTGGAGAGAGCAACTAGGCTTTATTAATCTTTTCACCACCGGGGTCTAGCACAGTGCCTGGCCCATAGCAGGAATAAAATAAATGCTTGCTCAGTGAATGAAGATAACCACGGGTAAGTATATGTTGCTCAACAGGGCTATGAAGAAGCAGAGTGAGAAAGAACCCACACTCTCAGGATTTCTAATCAAACGTCAAAGCCTTTCAATAACCTCACACATGTACATCCCAACTGAAGCTATACAGGTCAATCTTTTTTTTTTTTTTTTTAAGATTTATTTATTTATTTATTCGAGAGAGAGAATGAGATAGAGAGAGCATGAGAGGGGGGAGGGTCAGAGGGAGAAGCAGACTCCCCGCTGAGCAGGGAGCCCGATGCGGGACTCGATCCCGGGACTCCAGGATCATGACCTGAGCCGAAGGCAGTCGCTTAACCGACTGAGCCACCCAGGCGCCCCCAGGTCAATCTTTGAAAGACCTAAGTTAGGTACCAAAGACAGTGAGGGAAAATATTTAAGCCTAACAAAAAAATATTATCCTACAAAATTTATAATGGCCCTAAATCCCAAAGCTACCTTGCTTTGGGAGGAAATAAGAAAAATCAGCTTGGAACAAATCGATCAAGCAAGCATTTATCAGAACTTTATGTTCAGGACTGGGTAGGTGCTGCGGGTATACACACATACTGATTCCGGATTAAAGTCGAACAAAAAGAAAGCAAAACGAGAAGCAGAGAACGTCAGATTTCCTCTCGAATCCCAGCCTGACTTTCCTCTGAGCCCTGACAACACTGGTTTATTCTCACACCAGGTGACATCAAGCTTCCCCTCAGTGTCAACCTCCTACAGCTTTCACAAAGCCTTCTCCGACTTCTCTAGCCCACATTAATTTTTCTCTTTTCTGTATTCTTATGGAATTTCTTGTCTGTATAATTAATTTTGGCATTAAATCACAATGTCTTATATTATTATCCTTTTCTTAAGAGTTTATCTTTTCTCTCCCAGAGAGCCTGTAAGATTTTTAAGGATCACGTTTTGTATCTCTGACGATACTGTACTAAGCACACAGTAAGTAGATGCTTAATAAACACGGATGGATTGACCTGGTACCTTTCTGGCAGGTGTCTAAGTTCTCTTTGCTGACACAGGCATTTACTACCATCTCAAGGTCAAACACATTCACCAAAGAGCAGAGATACCAAAAGAGGCACAGAGTGGGACATCTCCCACCAAAGCAGAAGGGCTGGCGAGTCCAGAGGTGATAATCCAAGAGCACCGGGCTCCATGGTGGCGGGGTGGCGGTTAGTGTCCTGAAAAAGCTTACCCCTCCCTGAGATGTGAGCATCTGGGGCTGAGCCCAGAGAATCCCATCTTCTAGGCTTGGGTTCAGAGAAGGAGTATCTGTCCTTAAAGAGCCAAGACATGGGAAGGAAAGGGCTCTAGATGTAAAATGGGCAAGAACACACATGAGTGGAGGCCATAAATCCCTCCCAGGACGCAGACAATGCCTCAGTGATAAGCATGCAGATTGCACACCTAGTTCAGAAACTCCCCTGAGTTTGCTTGTAATTAAGGGGGTTAGAAAGGTAAAAAAAATATATAAACCCAATTAATCATTTAAATATTTAAAGTCAGATTTTTTCCCCACTCCAGGATTAGTATATTTCATAATGCCAGCAGCAGACAGCCCTGGTTTTTACTGGGGTTCATTTCAGAGCATGTTTAAACTAGTCAGATTGAGTGATGCTTCCAGCAACTAATCGCATGTCAAATAAAAGATATTTTATGTAATAAATTACCGCTACAAGTAATTCAAATGTCATTTATCAGTTTTATTATCAGTCAGGCAAAGTCTTGTTTCTCTATATTAATCAAAATCAAGCTTTTTTTTTTCTTTTTTCTTTTTTTTTTTTTTGAGCAGTTTTGACACCTCTTGGCAAAAGTACAGAAGTGAAGAGGTAGAGTCACCCCCGGAGCTGAAAGGAGCAGTGTAACAGTACAAGAGGAATGAAGCTCAACAATGACAAGTAGAAACTTCAAGGATTTAAAATTGCCATGACCATTGTTTTTATACTAGCGTCAAAGCAGGAAGGAGTCTGTCTCTAAGAAGATGTATTTTATTTTTAGGGCTGGGAGACTCTTAAAAATACTCCTACCTAAATACCGAAACGTGCTATGCTTCTTCTCAGAGAGACCTGGACAGAAGAATCTAGATGACGGCACTGTCCCCCTCCCCCCCCCTTCTTTCACCTCTTTCAGAAAGACCAACAGTTTAACCCTTTGCGCCTACCAAAAGTAGGCACGCGCGTGATGTTTTAGGCCAACTTTTTGACCAACCAGAACAATCTGTTCTGAGCAAGAAGTTTCCAAATAGCCGAGAGACCTGTTTGGTTTTAAGCCATGGAGGAAACAGCTGGAATAGAACAGATGTGCGTCTTAGAAAATTCTGCACCCCAGCTGCCACTGCCTGTCCTCAACAAATCCCATTAAATGGCTGGGCCCAGGGACACAACTAAAGAAAAAGTGTGGAGACCTAGCCTTTGGATAGAAGGAAACCCGGAGAGTATGTTTAGTGACCCAAAACAAACACAATGGATCGGAAAGAATGCCGGCCAGGAAGGAGATGTGAGTCCCAGCCTGACAAGCTGTAGCTACTGACTCAGTAGCTCCAATACAAGGCTTACCGCTGAGCACCATTTCTTGGGTCTCAGAGATCAGGGGACACCAGCGGTTTGTGAGACAAGGTGACCACGGACGAGGTGAACTTGAATTTGTGCCACCTGGCCTCACCCATTCAACCTTATCCAGAAAGCAAAAGAAAGGAGATATCTAACTGACATCTGTGACACCATAACCCACCTCCCGGCCCCCCGCACTGTCTAAGCCAGTGAGGACGACAGCAAAGCAAGAGCCAGAAGGTAGCTCCAGACCACGTGGTGGGGGTCAAAACAAGCCTAGCATTTTGTTATGCCTTCCAAAATCTGACATCTAACACTGTTTTAAATTAACATGTTTTGAAAAAAAAAAAACTTCTAAGACAATTAAAATGAAGACAATTACAGAAAAGGCATTTTGAAAGACAACAGATCCAAGGCTGAGTTATGTTAAAGAAATGAAACTTGAGCTATTTTCCATCACTTCGAAGTGAATTTTAATCTTTTTAAACTTTTTATAAGTGACTTAAAGAAGGGGTTCTGGTTGTATTTTGGAGACTGTACATTTATTACTAGTTTGAAGAACCGTTATTCCTCAAACAGCTTCACTTAAAAACAACATGGGTCCTGTTCTCATGTAATAATTAAAAGCTAATTCAAAAAAGGAGCTTTACATTTAATCTGAAATTCTCTAACAGACTGTCACCACATAAACATACATGGTATAGCCAGGACAAGGAAGAAAAGAAGGAAAAGAAGGAAAAGGAAGGAAGGGGAGAAGGGCAACGGGAGAGGCCACCCCAAATCTACTAATATTAACTTTAAAAAATAAAATTAGGAGAGGAGTCATTTCAGTGAGCAAACGAGAATGAAGTCATGAATCAGATGTTCATGTTCTTCATGAAAGAGTGACATGCAAAAGCATGATGTAAGAAAACAGAAACAGAACCAAGAAATACTTTTATAGATTCTTACTTGTAACCAAAATATTTCAAACAACACAATACACTCATTTATTCTGGTCCCTCTCATCTCTTCTTAAACCTTTGTCACATACTTAAAAGTTTGTCTAGGAGAGGATTTGGGTGTGGCACATTCTTTTGGAAAAACCCAAGAGCTGTCTACTAATCCCGGTTTCTCCCCGCTTGCTGAGTCTGGGAGATGGAAGGCACTGCTCTTTGGCCAGAATCCTGAACCCCAGGCAAGGTTAAAGCAGGAGTTTGAACGGGTGACTTACTGTACGGCTGAGAAATGAGGTGAGGGGGCTGGACAGGAACCACCTGTGTGGCTGGGCCCAAGGACGAAGGCTCATCAGCAGCTGTGCCTGACTGCTGGAAAGCCAAATCAATCTCTTCATCTGTCAGCCCTGGGGGGAGAAGAGGACATAAGTGCAGGTGAATACCTTTTGCCACTGTCCCTGGCCGCATCGAAATCTTCATTGAGAAAAGACCCTGAGAGCCCACAGAGTGCCTAGCATCCTGGTAAGTTTCCTCCCCGATTTCGGATTCTCAGGAACCTCTCTCAGTTGCAATTTAACCTTAAGCGACAGAATATTAGCCTCCACACTGCTTCCAAATGTGGCTCATTCAATTTCCTTAATTTATCCTTGAGTTTATTGCTGCTTTTGAAGTTGCTCCGTACTGCAATTCTCCATTCTTCCCCCGAAAACAGATACCATCAACTGCAAATGTGACTCATTTTAATCTGTAATGGTGTTAAAAAAAGAGGGGGAAAAACTAACAATAATGCATGAAAACAGACAGGGAAACAAAAAACTAATTATTGGGTGAGACGACTAATTAGTCTCGATCGTTTCCGAAGACGGGAATAATTTGCTTTATTTTATGACAAATGCAGAAATAAAAAGAAAAATCAGGACTGACTGTGATTAGTATGAATGGGATATAGAATGTAAAGAAGAAAATAAAACAAGAAAACAGATCAAAACAAGGCCAGGCCCAAACTTTCAGATGGTTATTGCTCCAGCCTAGCATAGGCTGCCGGTATCGCCTTTGGCGAGCTTTTCTGCTTCCCTTTGTTTCAATCCTCCCCACACTAGAGCGCACTGCGCTCAGGACAGCCCGGAAGAGCAGGGCGCCATCTGCAGTGGCTGCAGCGCGAGGAGAGGATTTGCCCATGGGAGAGTAACAGGCGGGCGAGGGCCCGAGGAGACCCCATTTCCAGTGGGCACACGGCTGCAGCCCATTGGGGACGCTGGCCCTGTGGGAAGAGGACGAGGATGCCAACCAACCCGAAGAACAGGGACAAGGTGTGGCGCACAGGTGTGAGAAAGACTTGCCCGCAGGGCCGGTCCGAGAAGTGGGTACAGTGGGTACAAGAGTGCTCGGGCCGCCGACAGTGGGATTGGCAGTGGGGAGGTCACTGCTAAGTCTGCAGAGACCCCTCCGGCCAGCCCGTGCTGTTCCAGGAATCCCAGTATCCAGTGCAGCCACCACGCAGAGCCTTTAAATGAGGGCCGAGGGCTTTTCCCCATCTGGTCGGCAGCTCTCCATTAGAGGCCCATGGCACCGCGTATTTGCCCCTGGGGGTAGATGAGGTTCAAGGAGCTTCTGAGGATCAGCATCTTCCGGAGCACGGGGCCGCCCGCTCTGTGCCAAGGGGCTAACAGATGGGGCGCGTTACTGCTCCGGAGCACAGCACCGCCCCGCACCACACTGGCGTGTAGCTGGTGCGGCGCCTCTGTCCCTTTTCAGGCCCCACCACCAAGCGGTCAGGGAGAAGGCCTGCACTACTCTGGAAGGCCCTGGACCCTCCACTCCCCTCCCTACGCTGAGCAGATGCGGGCGGTCCCCCCTCTGAAACCGCAGCCCTGCCCCTGCCCCCTCCGCACACAGGGGAGCCAGCCAGCGGTGGGCAAGGCTGCCCCTCAGTGAAGCCTGACTGCTGCTGCGGGGGGGCCCCAACGCACCCCACTCTCAGTGCACCAGCGGGGCAGATGGAAAGGCTGGTGCCAAGCACCTTCAAATACAAAAGCTACCTCTTGAGTATGCGGGGCTGTACTGGGCCGTTCCTCCTCCCAAATTCCCCAGCTTGCCCCAAAGGCCTCCCGAGAGAAACGGGCAGGACAGACGGACAGGTACCCCGAGCGTGTGCCTCTCGGGCTCCACCCAGCTTGGGAGTGCCAGCTAGTCACCTTCCGAAGAGGAAGGGGAGCCCCTTTCCGAGCTCTCCCAGGGAAGACCCGGTTTTAACCAGTTCGTCATCCGCCGCGCGAGAAGCAGGCGCACGTGCGGCGTCAGCAGGCGCGGATGGTCCCTGGTACACCACGGGCTTTCATAAACCTGGCGCTTCGTGTGCCTTGTCAGCCGCTGGCTGCAAATGAGGATAATTTTCCCAAAAGGAGCATTCAGTTGCTTTCTCATTTTCCCTTTTGGCTCTTTCAAATATAAACAAGTACGATAATGTTTAACGCTGGGGAAATATACAGTAAGTCACGGGCTGAGCCGCGGCCCTGAGAGCCGGAGCTGGTTAAAGGGACAGCACTCCCTGCCCGCTGCTCTGCCCTCTGGCCCGGAGCTTTTACGAAGCCTATTTTCCTAATAAAACATGTTCCTTGCATTATTGCAGCCGAGCCCACTACTGAGGCCGTGGTTTAAAGGGCATCAGCACTTCCTTCCAAGCTCTTGTTTTTCAGAGACCTTATCATTTGATGCTCTAAATTTACATTGGCTGGAATTCTGATATCCCCAGTCCTCTGGAGAGTCAGGATTTTGATTTAGTTACATAAAATGAATCACTTTTCTTCTTGTAAAAAAAAAAAAGCATTTTCATGATCTCAGTGAATAATATAATTTCATAGCTGGACCATGATCCCAGGCACTGCGTTCATTTAACAGATAAAGAACAACAACAACTAAGGCCCGAGGAAGGTGAAAACATGCCTCAGATCCCACGAGGCAGGGCATGGTGCTGCCTGCTCGACAACCCACGGCTCTCCATCTGCCACCTGGTGACTGCCCCTCTAGCACAGAAACAACAAATGGCAGATTCTGAAATCACGTCTTAAGTCTTCAAGCTTGTGAGAGGTTGAGAGAAGCACTAAATGGTCTCTCTCAGCCCCAGCTGGCACCACATCTACAGGTGAGGGCTGACGAGTGGCGTTTGGGGGCCAGACCAAAACAGCACAGAAACCGAACACCCGGATCCTATCTGCAAGTGACACCGGGACAACTTTTTGAACCACTCCAAAATGACAAGGGTAGTGTCCCCGTCTCATTCTAATATTCTAACCCCCAATAAATCCAAAGGCCTCTCACAGACCTGAGAGCCCTCTTCCTCAGAGCGCCCCCAGCAAGGGGTGCACTGGCCAGCCAGATTCAGTGTTCTCTCAACTCAGGTTGATTCATCTGGGACTCATGGAGACTCAGCGGGAAGGGGTGTCATCTCCTTCAGAACACAACAGTTACCTACGCAGTCATGAGCTCCTGCTGCTGAACTGACCAAGGCAGGGAAGAGGGACAGCCACAGGACCCACACACAGGACATCCAGGCTTCCTTCCCCTCCCCTCCCCCCCACAGACGGCAGAGAGCTTAGACTGAGACCTTGCAGAATCCCAAAGGTTAAAAGGAATAATAAAGGAAACCGCCAATTGGAAGTGAATTATATTTGGCTGTGAAAGCTGAGGCATAGGCTATATCATAAAAGGCATCTCTTTGCGTTGTTTACCATCACCCTGACTAATGCAGACCTTTTTTGTTGTTGTTGTTTTAAATAATCTCATGCAAATTAGACACACACACTTCCTTCCAGTTGATTGCTATCTGCAAGGAATAATCTAACCGCAGAGGGACCAAGCAAGGGCTGAGCAGAGCAGAGACGGGGGCAAAGGGTGTTGCCATCCTGTGGCAGGCCAACCTCCTGCCATGGAGTCTTCCTTTAGTCACCACCTTTGGAAGAATTAGCCAATTTCAATAAAGCCCAAGAGTTTCTTTCAGTTGGGGTATCAGTTTGCATTATGCGATAGCACTTTGCATCTAGATGCTTTCGGGAACGTCAACCTCTGCCACTTGCCAATTCCAAGAGCTACCTGCCTTGGTCTGTGACAACTAAAACGTTATCACTGACGGAGAGTAAAACTAAGAAAGTTATTCCATCCACTCACTAGCTTTAGCCAAGAGGAGGAGAAAGGAGCGAGGGCACCTGTCCAATATGAGGAGGCCAAAACACCTGTCTCTGAGAGGCAGTGTCATTTCACCTTTAAGATCACAGGTGCCTGGAGGAGCCTGGGTGTCTCAGTCGATTAAGCGGCTGCCTTCAGCTCAAGTCATGATCCCAGGGTCCTGGGATGGAGCCCCACGTCCAACTCCCTACTCAGCGGGGAATCTGCTTCTTCCTCTGCCCCTACCCCCGCTCATTCTCTCTCTCTCAAATAAATACTTTAAAAAGGACCAAAAAAAAAAGGACCACAGGTGCCTGACTGGCAAAAGTGAGAGCTCTCAATTCACACAGTGCAAACGAAGGTCCCGAGCACCCGGAATCAGGGTGGTCTCCTTGTTCTCTCAGTTCTCCGGAATCTACTTCCAGAACCAGTGCCCTTTACAAGGAGACAGCTGTGGCCCCAGTGCAGAAGCCGCCCGGAAGATTTCTTTTCCAACACTTTCCCCAGGGTGGGATTCTTTTAAAAGAACAGAGCAAGCAAGTTACAAGCTATTGATTAATAAAGCCCCTTGTTACTGCTGTGGGCAACTGAAGTGAACGGCCTCGGGGCTGCCACACCTGCTTGTTTGTATCCCCTAGAAGATACACAGATTTGTTTTCTTTTTCTAAAGGTTTCGATTCAAATGCAAACAAAACCAAACTGGTTGACTTTGTGAGCTGCAGCTGGGACCTGGGACCTGGGAGCTCGACGCTGCAGGTCCATTCCCACGGACTCAGACAAAACTGGGCACCGGGAAGAGCTGACTTTTTCCTGCGGGACTGGCTGTGCAAGGGCTTCTCAGAATAAGTCACCTCGGTGCTGTCCCCAGTGACCGCTGAGCACTGCCACGGGGCCTGGCCCTATGCAGGTGAAGCAGAAAGACAGGTGACAGCAGACAGCAGCATTCCCTGCATCTTGCAGGTCAAACAGGTCAAACAACAGCCCGGACAGTGGGGTTAGGAATAGTTTAGAAATAAGCAAAGTAATGAACACCCGATGGCACCTTCCAGCCGGACCTGAATTTTATAATAAAAATGTCAAGTCTGGCTGGGATTGGGGAACAGGGCCAGAAGGCCAGCAGCAAAGGGCGGCAGCTGCAGGCTGGCCACTGGGGCCATCTTCCTCCCGCATCACAGTCTCTCCATGTACAGGGTTTGGGTGATTCATCTGGGACGCGCGGAGACTGTGCGGGGGTCACCTCTCTGAG